TATTATATTAGGTTTTGACAAGATCTTTGGTGTAATGGTAGCAATGTAATCTATGACCAATCAACGGGTTCGATCCCCACCGGATCCAACATGCTTATAATTTTTCTGAAACATATTAAACTTCGTCTGGACATCTGCATATTAAATGGATGGTAATATCAAAATCCCCTCCGGGTCACAAAACTTCGCACACAGATGATTACATCTGTGTGCGAAGTTTTGTGACCTAGCTATTAAGCTATCAAGTTGAATCGCGTTTCGGTTTCAGGAGTTTTGGATTTTTGGATTTCGGAATATCCAAAGCCAAAAAAAACTCGAAAGCGCATCTTGATTAAATGTGTCGGAGTATTTCAGTGATCCCCAAGCTTATCCTCCTCTATCATAAAAAAGTATTCTGATCGACGTCATATTGGTTTTTTGACGATTGGCGTTTATTCCAATGAAATCTCGATGAAGTGTCGATGCCATTTCGCTAGCATATTACTTTGAATGTGCAGAATTGGGTCAAAAACAATACAATTTCTTCTCTATATTTCGATACTTGCTTTACAGATGTTAAGAGAGCCTTTAACATTGACTGTTGTATTATTGAGGTCGATCTTTGGTGATCAGCGTATTTACCATTTAGGTATGAACAAACGTAACTTTCAATAACAAAACAAAACATAAGCAAATTGTGCTTTTGGCATTGAGTGCTACAAAATAATATAAAAAATAACGTTTACCGGTTACGTTATTTTGTTGTTTAATTAATAAATTTGATTACTATAAAAATGGTTATTGTGAGTTAATTTAAAATATTAGACATATACGTCACGGATTGATATGTTTTCGCAGTGAACGCAACGAACTTTAATGATGGATAATTTTTCCTGTTTTTCGCATTTTCCATTCTTTCTTCGCTCCGGTCCCAGCGTGATGTTATATAGTCTAAAGCCTTCCTCGATCAATTCAGTCCATTGGAACCAGTAGTTGCTGAGATTAGGACGTCCAAACAAACTCTTCAATTTTATAATATTAGTACAGTATTAAATTGCGTTCAGTTAGGCCAGTATTTACGGTATTCCTCCAACATCTATGTAGCAATATTATCACCCGTCTAAACAAGAAACTAATATAAATTCTTCATGAACTTAAGCCAACAAGCGATGCTGAATAGTTGCTCTTGCACCTAATAAATAACTCGTAGTTTTATTATCAATGAACAATAAGTATGATATGAAATCTTTATAGTTTAAATAAAACATTCTAACTGTTTGAAACGCGATATATATTAGTTAAAATTATTTGAAAACTTTATAGGTTGTCTAGTTTTTCAAACATAATAACATGGTATAAATTAGAAATCTAACTAGATTAGAAGAAAAACGACAACCGTGGGACCGTTTCTCGCTTTGTATTATTGTAACTTTTTTGATTTAAATAAAACACTTTAACGGTTTGAAACGCGATATATTAGTTAAACTTATTTGAAAATGATTTTTAACTTCGGCCCGACGTTTCGGATGCTTTGCCGCAGCCGTGGTCACGGGGAGACCACGACACGGGCCAAAGTTAAAAATCATTTTCAAATAAGTTTAACTAATATATCGCGTTTTAAACCGTTAAAGTGTTTTATGTAAATGTGTACTACTCGCGTAAACTATAGACAGTATTTAACTTTTTTGATCTAGAGACAGACAACATATACATATGGAGGACCAACAAGTATTCACATGATGGTAGATGAAATATCCTACATACATACCTAACATCTAATCGAGATGTGCTACCAAATTATTTTAGCTTTGGATATTGCGAAATAAACAGACTGAATGACCCATATAATATCAGAGATATCCCGACATGAACCAACGTCTATATTTCGTGATGGCAACAAATTTGTTTTTTTCATTTGTTCCGTGCTGCTGCTCTAACCAATTAAACTACGAAAAAAAAGAAATATTTAAAAACAGAATTAATAATTAAAAAAATTTATTGTTTTTATTGTTACCAACATTATAAAAATTAAAAATCTATTTACATAAAACAAAATTACGCGGAAATTTTAAGTTTAACAAAGTTCATAAATAGCCTATTAAGGAAATTTTTTATTAAACTCTAAAATGGAGGTAGCTACAATGGGTAGATGGCTACACATTTTTTTACTTACCTAACCTCAAATAACATTAAAAATTAATTGTATAAAACGGCCGGATTTGCTTTAAACTCCCCTGTGTTACCTATTCCAGGTCACAGAATACCTCACAGCATTTTTTATGAGACATTTCCCTCGATTTGCATAAGAAAAGCGCTTACTGTACTTTGGTAATGTCTTTTATATATAGATATATACTTACTGCCTCTGTAGCTAAAATGGTTAATGCCTAGCATTGCGTTAAGCGTGAAAGGGGTCCTGGGTTCGAATCCTGTGAAAACAATAGATTGGTTAGGTCGGGGAGGCCAACAGAAGTCTGATGAAGTCAACAAGATGAAACAGAAGATGATGAGTCTAATTTAAAATTAAAATTAATGTTTCTTTAAGAGAAGTTTTTGTAAATACATCGTATGAGTTATTAATGTCCTTGTTATCAATATAATTTGAACCTTTATGGACTTTAACAATGTAAAACGCGAAATGTATTACTTAACTAGCTGTGACAGTTTCGTAAAATACTTTTTGGAAATCAAAATTTTTATTTAAAAAAAAAACTTTAACCCTTCGATATAACTTATTTGAAAATACTTATTTGGATATCAGAATTTATATTTACCAATCTCCCGATCTTTATACATTATAGCTATTACTTACGTCGGACACGACCCGTCGCGTCATTCTTGCGAGTCAATCCTAAAAGATACAGTTGCGGACATTTTTGTAGATAATTTGAAGAGGAATCATTATTTCCCACACATCTGGGTATCTAAAACTGTTTTCGCAGCGACAACAAACAACAAAAGCAACAAACAAACTCTTCAGCTTTATATATGAGTATAGATTTATATTACTATGATGTTACCAATGCTTTGCAGCAGCCGTGGCCACGGGGGGTTCTTCACTTTTTACATTCTTCCTAAAGCTTCAGCCCGAGGGAGCCATCTATCCCATCTGTGTTGGTATTTAAGTGCTATTCGCGTAAACTGCAACCCAGTCAGTTTCTCGAACTACAAACTACGACGAAATAGATTATGTTAAATTAAGATTACGTGCGTTTTAAACCGTTAAAATAGTTTTACTTAAATACATTAGTCTTTTTTTTATTATTAGTTCGTTATCGCTATCGCTAAACGTTTGCAATAAGACTATTAATAAACAAGGAAAGCTAGATACCTAATCATTGACCTACTGAATACAGCTTAGTAAAATCAAGCACTCCCGACATTATATAGCTTAGTTAGCTTCCAAGGCTAACAGCTACGTATTTATTGTAATTGCTGTTCTAGATTTTTGTTTACCTCGCTAAGTTTATAATCTAGAAAATAACATCTTATGTAATTGAATCTATTTAGTACTTATTCGGGCCGAGGTTTTCCACATTTATGTAAGACCTAGGTTTTAAATACGTCCTTATAACGAATATGATGTCATTATAAATTGATTTCGTAGCTTTGTATGTTAGCAATATGTTTACATAAAACACTTTGAACGGTTTGAAACGCCAAATGTATTAATCAACTTTTAAACTATTAAATAGTGTCTGTAGTTTACGCGAGCACACATTTAAATTTTAACGATTTAGAACGCGAAATGTATTAGTTAACTTACTTACTATTTATTTAAATTACGGCCCGACGCTTCGAATACTTTCGGTTTATAGAAGACTTTATTTCTCATAAGCTTTTTTTTGTATTTACAATGAGATTTACATAACAAAAAATACACGAGTGGCTTAAATAATAATAATTTACATACGGTTTTGTTCGACTATATATTGTTTAACATCTTAAGACTTCGTAACTATCAACTTTGCGAATGCATAGAGGTAAACTATTACTTTCGAATGTCCTCATGGAGAGGGTCCATGGGTCGTTTTAAACCGTTAAGTGTTTAATTTAAATACGTACTACACGCGTACACATAATACTTATGTGTTATATATTTTCGAATATCAGAAGCCCAATAGGTCGACCGCGCATCTTGTTTTGATGTTATATGTCTCGTGTATTTCACCTACCATCAAGTGAACTCTTCAATCATAAAAAAGGTCACAATAGAAACATAGATAGAAAAAGTTTATGCTTGAAAAAGCTGGTTTGAAGCTATTGATACGATCTCGTATTATTACAGTGACGCAAATATATAGCAGTCCCAAAGGTAGCTAAAACAAAAGTTTTCGAACTCTCGAGTGTTGATAAAATGTTTATTTAGGTGCTTTCAGGCTTTGTTTCGCGTTATCGCATTCCGCCCTCGGAAGCTTACATTAACGTTGAAAATTTTGTTGTATAATGATTTGCAAAAAAATATATTGAGATTTAAATGATAACGACGAGGTCGGGACTTGAACCGGCATCCACACCGTGCTTTGACTCTAACCAATTGTTCTAATGTCAGCAGCACGAAAGGCATCCTAGGTCATACAGGTCTTGCCTTGTCTTCAAATCCTCTCAAATTCTTCATCTTTTCACGTTTTACAGCCTTAATATACAATAACATCTGAAAAACATCAGTCTTATCTTTTTTAAATGCCTAGTTGCGTTGGTAGACAGTGCTTACTGGTAGTGCTCACTCGACAATAGATCACGATGTCCCAAGGTTGAATTCCGTGTCGGATTGTTATTTTCGGATTCGGAATTTTTCTGAACACGTTAAGAGGTCGATGTTAATTACTGTCACTAATTTGGTGGCAATAATTATAAAAATCCGACCATCCAAATTAGTGCAACGCGGTGGGCCTAACCTAATAGATTAAACAGTATGCACCAACTGCTATATGTATAAAATATCGATCTACGAACGAACATTTTGCAGATGGATTTTCCCAGCATTTCTTGATACCTTTTCAATTTCAGCTCTGGATAAAATGAAATCTTCTCGAGCACCTCTATGCCTGGGTATTAAACACGTTTGAATAGCATCTTCACTATAAAGCTGTTTAAATACGATCCATTTTGCAGTTTATGTCTTAGTCTTTTAATATTGCAAGTATTATCTTGGTATGATCTTATTTCAGCGTTATTAAAACATTTATATAGACTTAAAGAAATAAATGGCAACACAGGCCAGTTGAAACATTTTATTAAAACTGACTTGGAAAACGTTATTTTACTATATAATAAGTTTTGGACTAAATTGATTATTACCAAAAAACGGTTGTGGAGCTAATCATAAAAGATACGTGTAGATACTGGATATTCGACTCTAATACAAGAATATATTTTTCAATTCGAGCAGTTCCAGAGATTAACACGTTGAAACAAACAAACAAACTCTTTAGCTTTATAATATGTATTAGTAAAGATTGAAATACTCGTTCGCAATTAGCAGACTAAAAAATAATTCTGAACTTAAGTTGTTTTTATTGTAATGTTATGTTGTTTATATAGAAGAAAAGAAGTAAATATGAGTAGATATTCTTCTAATAACATCTTTTCTTGCAGTTTATGATGCATCAGGCCAGTACAGTCCAAATGTTTTATTCGGGAATGAGTACTGGCTTGGGTCCCTCAACGCCTGCCATGACCTGCAACTGAAGCAGTACTATGATCAAGTATCCCCATTTCCAACCACCTTCTTCGTAGCCAAGATCAACCTTACCGTGGATGGAGATCACCTACCGATGGTGAGTAGATACATCTGATCAAAATAAAAAAAACAGATCATAAGCCATTCTAATTTTAAATGTTCAAACAAATTTGAAGTGTAGTTTACGCGAGTAGTACACATTTAAATAAAACACTTTAACGGTATAAAACACTATATATTAGTTAAATTTATTTGACAATTTGAAGTTCGTTAATATCCTCTATAACTATTTACTAATTGTAATTATTTTTTGTTTTATTTCAACAGGCAAATAATTACATAAAATTATAACGTATATGTCCTCAATTAAGAGGAGCCACCTGGCTGCTCTTAATTGAAGACATATATTTTAAAATAAGTAAAATTGTCCAATCTTTATGAGAACTATTATATAAATTACTAGTTAAAAAAGTAATTAGCCTGTTTATCTTATTTAAAACGTGTTTATTTCATTTATATGATATAATATAATATAGCAAAGTTGAAAGCATGCATGACTTTTGGCTCAAAATGCTAATATCTATCTAAACTTTTGTTCGTAACAAATGTTCAGTTTTTACACACCTTTAAATTAATAATAAATTGATAAGGTTGCATCTTGTTATAATTATGGTAATAATCAATATTTAATAATCGGCGTTATTGTAATATGGAAAATTCCATTATTTATATTCCCTGAAATAAGTTTTACGAATCAATGAAATATTACTTTGAAAATGCGGTGTAGTTTTCTAAAAATAGCGACGGTATATCTTGAATGTTCCGCGCAAACTACAACTGAGAAGCTCGTTAGGAAAAGTACAATATTCTAGAATACGGAGTTGGTACTCAGAAATAACGAATACGGACAGAATTTATACCTCCACGACACCTTCTCATGGACAGATGAAAGTGAATATTTTATTTCAAAGCTATATAGTAATATATATTCAAATATATATTACTAGCTGAAGAACTACTTTGCTACTTACTACCTAATTTAAAAATCGAAAATAAATTGAAAAGATTTTTGACTCGGGCAGGACTTTGAATTTGTTTTCGATTTTTAAATTATATAGTGCCTTAATGTGCAATAACATGAAAAAAATAAAAAAGTTTACTAACTACCTTACAATTTATTTTAAAATTCCTTCTGTTCTTTCAGAACTGGCTAACGGTGTCCTAAGTGTTATATTAAAATGTATATATACTACTCGCGTAAACTTATAATCAAAACACTATGTTATTTTTCAATTGTTCTTAAGTTCTTATCGAAAGAATATCGAAATTTCCCATGCTATAGAGAATCCTTTAATGGGGCGGTGGTATTATAAGGTTCCTCTTTCTTAAGAAACAAACCGCATACGCAGATCTAGTTTACGTCTTCGCTCTATTGAACCATTTCTAGCACGCGTTAAGATTATCGTTATTGATATAGCTGCGTAATAAAATATTTAAAATGGCCGCTTCTAGATCAATTACGTAGCAACCCTCGCGAAAGTTAAGTGTGGCATTCTGACCCAACTCCCGAGACGATCGCATAGTTGCCATGTCAAAGAACTTTTAATATAAAAGTTGAGCTACTCGCTTGCAAATTGTCGCGGAATTATATGAAGCCAAACTTGCACTATGTTTTTGGGCAGTTTATGGACATATTTCATTTTTAATACAGTAATAAATACAAACAATAATTATTATTTATCAACGTACGTAATTTTCCAATCAAATCAAATCAAATTCATTTCACAAATAAATACAGTGCTTATAAATAAATTAGATGTGTGTGGCGGGATACAGCTTTTGTACCTAAAATAAGTCCAACGCCGATTTCAGTATTGCCTCACGCTTGATAATTGAAGTAGAACAGTAGGAACACATATTATCTATTCTTATCTATATCTATTAATGTGTGTGTATATGCTGTATATAAACATACACACATTACAAATGGTGGCGTCATTAATGCACAATATACGACAAATAAACCCATTACACTAAATTATTGTAAAATAAAAAAATAAAAAATGATTATTATCTTTAATAACCACAATTTTTTTTATACGTATATTTATTTAAAATTTTAGTTAGAAACAAAATCTACCTTTGCCGTTAAATTTTTGTTGATTTCTGAGTTTTAAATCGGTAATAAAGTTATTTAAAAGCCTAAATATAAAAAAAACACTCTTTTCCATCCAATAATGTCATAAAAATAACGTTTAATATTTTGCTAACGTGCCTCTAGAAATAATAATTTTTCCTTAATGCCCACACTCACCCCGGACGACCATTAGGTTATCGTGGAGTTATTACCTTCCTTTCCCCACAAAAACGGTCACTTAACAGACGATTACTACAGCTATGTGCGAATATGGTGAAATATTTGGGCTGGTTCGAGGAAAGTTCAACTAGACTTCAAATGAGATTGGGTAAATACGTCGATTACAAAACGCAAGAGTATAGTATAGTTAGACTCTAGCGTTTTGTAATCGATTTTAATTTAAATGGCCTCATAATATAAGAGGAAAACTAAATAATACTACTTATTTAAAATAATAATAAATACTATTTATTTAAAATACTAAAATAAAAAATTAAATTTACAACGCATCATATTTTTTACTCTAAGGAAGAGTGACTTTTAAATAAAACACTGACGTTTAAGTTATTGTATATATCGCGTTTTAAACCGTAAAAGTGTAATTTAAAAATCGAAAATAAATTCAAATACGTATTACTCGCGTAAACTGCAGCAAGTACTTTTTTAGACTTTAAATTTACAAAAGTTATTTTTTCAGACACGATCAATGCTTGTAGGGCAATGTATGCCACTATCATGTACTAACAAGGAAGTGCAGTCGCTGCTGCAGGCTGCTGAGTTTGCAGCAGCTAATCGTGCTGCAGCAGCCGGCATCAGGGCTACCGCAGAGACTCTCTATGTACGACCAGTACCAGGACCTTATAATGTACTCGAAGATTTCAAAATGCACATCATAGGGTAAGCTATTATTTGATTGACTGTATTTATTACTAGCAGTCCGCCCTGGGTTTGCACACATATTATACATGTAAATATATGTATATATAGATATTGTACAATTCTAAAACCACTTTTAACGCTTTCATTGAATAAAATAAATGAAAAGCAATTTCAAAGCGTTAAACTTACTTACTTGGCTTTAGCTCTTCTCAGTCGTGCACTCAAATTAGAGTGGTCGTGGTCTGTGATGATGATGTCGTGGTTCGTGGGGTGTCCTCTGTGTTCGAGCATGCTTTAAGGACTATCCTCCTCCATCTTTGACGGTCTTTTGCATCGCGGCTACACTGTTCAAGTGAAGATCCGGTGGTAGTGCTGATAAGGTCGGCCCAGCGGGTAGGAGAACGACCACGTGAACGCTTTCCTTCAACTCTTCCTTGTATGACTAGTCTCTCCAGGGAATCCTCATTTCTAGAAATATGACCAAAGAACTTCAGAATGCGTGTCATTACGATCGAAGACAGTCTTTGCTGGACCTGGCTTTAGCTAAAGTATGTATATTCAGTCGAAAGCTAAGTAAAATACCACTGTTAGGTCATATTATTACTTGAATTATATAAATGAAATCTTTATAGATATCTATACTAATATTATAAATGCTTTTTAATGCCAAAAAAGTGTTGCTAGGGGTTGAAAAAGGGTATGAAAGCTTGTATGGAAATTCGTGGTTTTTGAAGATAAAAAAATAAAACTTTCTTCTATGGCTTTTTGGGAATATGAGTGAGAGTGGACGTGGGAGTGGGAGTGGGAGTGGGAGTGAGTGTATGAATGAGAATGGAAGTTAGAGTAGGAGTGATGTGCGGTGAGAGTGTTGCGGCAAAGTAGCACTTACCACATAGGTTGGCTGCCTTAAATGCGCCCTTACATAAATTAATAAAAAGCCTACATAATTAAAAATTCTACCCCAAGCCACTAATCCAACGAAATTGCGGACACAGATAGTTGCCTATAAATAAACTATTCCATGAGACAAAAGAACTGTGAAAAGTTCTTGTAAAACAATTAATCGTATACGTTAAATTAGTTCTCGTGAAAGCGGGTATTTTTCCAGAATTGGCCCAACGCGGGTCGCTTATTTAACTTTTATAGCCCAGCTTGCAAATATTTGAAAAGAAAGTTTTAGTTCGTTCAATACTACTTTAATAAACGTAGTTTTATTGGCTTTTTGAATTAAATGAGGCTGCAAATAATTTCGCGGTAATAAATCTCTAACTTAAAATTTGATAGAAAATGAATTATGTAAAAAAATATGTTGAGTTTATTAAATTGTTATCCAAAGACGTAACTTGGCAAGAGCAAACAACAAAACCGCGCTCTAATCATTTTTTTTACTGAAACAATGTTTGTATTGTATCTCATTAATACATTACATTTGAAAGTTTTCCAGGTTTTAAATTTGTTTACACACGTCATTATTATGATCCGGCAAACGTTGTCTTCCTGTTTGTAAGATGTTGATACAACTCTAACAAATAATTGGTAATCATTTCGACAAAATATTCAATCGCACCATTAAAATAGTTGATGCGAGATCTTAAAAGAGAGACATATAGTGTCACAGATATTTCTTTAGATTGATTAGAGGAATAAGGAATCTAACAAACAAATAATCATTATCAGCTTTATAATATTAGTATAGATAAAATAAAATTTTGTTAATAGAAGTTGCTAGAAGTTATAAACAATCCTTATCCTTGGGCAAAAGTATCGCAAACAAGTCGCGGTTGATTATATCGTTAACGACACTTGCAGCTGACCCATTTGTTGTATGTAGAGTCGGGAAAGCGATAAATAATTGTCAAGAAAATAAATGAGACACTGATTCCAGCCTGTACAAGCTTTCCACTACAGCACTTTATCGTGAAAAAGATAATACGCAACCCTTGTTATTTTCAAATCGCGGAGAGCTTGTCACGCTGAAAAACTGTGAGGGAAATACGTTATTTTGCTACATTTACAAGTACCCGCGACTTTGTCCGATTATTTTTTTTCGGAAACAACATTCTTAGCGTTTTAAGTTATAGCTGTGTCCTCTGCGTCCCGTCTCGCAATATTCAAAGACATGTACTGTTACGGAAATTTGGTAGTACATTTAAATAGGTATATTTCTTTAATACATATTTTTTAGCTTCTTAACACGTTTACGCAGAGCACGCAACTTTTACCACAATTTTCTCTGTTTATCGCTCTTATTAGTCACAGCTTATTCAGCCTTTCTCGATAAATAGACAAAGGAACAAACTGTACGGCTTTATAAAATTAGTAAAGATTGACGATAATATTATTATTTTCAGATGCTATTGCTCATAATAGATTCTATTAAATTAAGGGTCTCTTTAGATTTCCGAAATTCTATGAAACTCGACTTGAAACCATGTGCCAATGTAATTCAGTTGGTAAAATTAACATGGAATACTGTGGCCGTGGGTTTGAATCCCGCCTTTGTCATCGATAAAAACCGTTTATTTTGAATTGCTATATTCTCTCGTTTTTAAGCTATAGAGCTACTTAAACCATATACTCTTATATTAGCGGAAAAAAAAGTAAAATGTGTTGCTCTACTTAATAGTACGTTGACTGTGGTATTTATAACAAACAGTTTTTATAGGTTAAAAGTTGCGCTGACATTTTGAACACGATAAATTCACTTGTCGATACTATTAATATCGCAAAATGCTATCTGTATGTCCGTTGCACACAATTTTTATAGTTAGAGTTTTACATAAAAAAATATTACTTTTATAACTACGACCGATTGTATGTACTATAATGCATATAAAATAAAAAATGTAAATACATAATTAAAATAAAACACTTTTAACAGTTTCAAAAACGAAATGTATTGCCTAAACAGTGACAGGCCTAAACAGTTTGGCAAATTATCCGAAATGGGCCGTAGTTAAAATATATTGTAGATAAGTTAACTAATACATTTCAGGTTTTAAGTGTGTTTTATTTAAAAATTTACCGCATAAACGCAGGCAGTATTCAGTAAATTAAAAACTAATTTTGATTGAAAAATTTAACTCAATTGGTTAAATGTTGTCAATTTTCAATGTAAATAATTCTTTATAATACACAATGCCAACTTGTGAAAAATATTAATGTACCTTAAAATCTCGCTTCTCCTACGTACCATCAGACAGACACATATTTGTACTTTTGACACAGATATAATGTATTCACATGCAAGTAATTCTTGTTTCTTTCAAATTCCAATGCGTTTTATGAGAACAGCCTTCCTATACGTAAAGCAAATAACATCTCGATAAAAGCACTTAAACTTTGCGACTCTTCTTCAGACAATAAAAAGGGTTTTTCCAATACTTCGTCGACACACTTAAAACTTTTTGTCGAGCTTGTTGGTCCAGTGATAGCTATGTATGGATAAATCGTGATTTTCGCCTCAGTATAACCATTAATCTGTTTAGGAGTTGAACCAAGCTAAACGGATAGATAGGTTGTGACGCGTATAAAAGGCGGTTAATTTAAGTACATGCTTAACGGTTCAAATCGCGAAATATATGAGTTAACTTTTTTTTAATTTAATCTAACTACGGCCCGAAATAAGTGAGCCAATTTATTTTGCGTTTTAAACCGTTAAAATGTCTTCATTTAGATATGTACTCGCGTTATAGAGCGGCTGAAACTGAAAGGCGTTTTATTTTCATACCACTTTACGAAGCTTTAGCTATTGGTCGACATCGCATCTTAATTAGATGTGATTAAGCAGGGTACTTCGTCTTCTAAGCATTTTTATTTTTATTAATTGAACTCTGGATGTTTCTCTTCCTGTCATTTCAAATAACCAGTGCTAAAATAGTTCGACAGTACAACTTAGACATCCGCTGGGACATTTTACCTTCTAACAAGTACTTGTGACCTCTTTTCTTGTTAAAATGGGTCTGGAACGAATACGCGAACTTATCAATCAGAATTGTCCTCAATCACAAGATAATCATCTTGGAGTAGACTGTGATGTCCGATCGATCAAAGTGATAGATACTCTCCGTATTGAATCCTCATATCTCACGATTGGATCTAATTACCTTGCTCGTTGAAGCTCCTTACTGCCTCGTTGGTCTTCGCATACTGGGAGTGGGACATAAATACAATGAAACGAATAATTAAAATTGCATTGTTTTCAAATTGAAACTTTTCATTTGTAATAGACAAGCATAGGATTGAAATACCCCAGCTCAACAAGATGTCGACCTATTGTGGACGGTGGTTCATGACTTGGACGAAATTTCGAAATATCGTACCCATTAATATTCAGCTGCTGTATTTTAAATTCGACTATTGATCGCCATATATTTTGAATTTTCAACCGTTAAAAGTGTTTTGTTTTAATGCCTAGTAATCAGGTACTACTAAATTTAATTTTTAACAATTTTTCAATATGACGTAACATTGAAATTTGTTGGGAACCCAATTTAATACTGAACTTACAAACAAACAGAAAAATTCAATCTTACAAAATATCTTACTAATAATGAATAAAATATAATATATTACTCTTAAAATAAATAATTAATTTACTCGAATTGTCGTTTTAGACTATTAACAGTGGTTTACATGTCTAAGTGAAGTTGAGAAGGCTGTGTATTAATCTAATAAAATTAACAGTCAAGACACGCTTCAAGCTAATAAAACACACGAACTCAAAGTAAACGAACCGTATTGAAATTGAATAATGTAACACGGATCCGTGCAGCCAACGACTTCTTATTAAATAAGCTTTAATTTTTCACGTCTGCTCTCATTTCTTTAATGAAATACCAAAAGATGAAAGAGAATTCACATTTATAATAAATTATCCTACAGCATTCATCGATAAATACTCCAACCAACACAAAAATAAGTTTTTACTTCGAACAAGTAGTTACTCAGATTAGCGCGTTCAAACAAACACACAAACAAATTCTTCAGCTTTATATATTAGTATAGCTTTCATATATTATAATATAACCAGTCTGCTGCAAAGCATCCAATACGTCAAGCGAAAGTTAAAAATAATAAGTTGAACTAATATGTATCGCGTTTTAAACCGTTAAAGTGTTTTATTTAAATAACCATTATTTTACAATACAAGTGTTAGTGACTGTACAGGATAGATCACAAAGATTGGGGCATAGACCGCTACCCTGTACTTTCAATGATAGAGAAGGACAGAGGCTTTACAACAGGAGTTTTCATCTTCCATCAAAGGTGAAAAACTCCAGCCAAATGGATCTCAACAAGATCCGCTAAGGATATTCGGAAATCCACAGAGTGGAACCTAACTATGATTTTTTATCTGTGCGTTCGTGAGTCGGGCGGAATTATTGATATTCCTAGCATCCATTTAATATCTATATTTCTAGACGAGCAGACATGTTTGTAAAAGAACATTATAATACTATGGTAAAAAATAAGATTAAAAGCTACGCATTTACTAAAACAATTTAACTTAATAAACGTAATTTGCACACAATTAGATATAGTCTATAATTTACTCCAAGGACAAAATTATATAAAACACTTTCAACGATTTAAAACTCGAAATATATTATTTATCTTCTTTACTATTATCATTGTCCCCCCGTAACCACGATTGCTGCAAAGCTTTCGTAGGCCGTAGCCAAAATAAATTTTAAACAACATTTTTCGCGTTTTAAACCGGCAAAAGTGTTTAATTTATTATTATTTTAATATTTAAAAGTACGTATAAATATTTCAAATTGTTATACCATTACACGCGGTCATGACCTCAGCAAAAAATTCTAGAACGCGTATCCTTCAACCTTGCGAAATAGATATAGATATAGTATACTATTAATAGTAACATATAAGGCACTAAATGCTCATTAAAAGAAGGACAATCACATATATGGTTGTGTTACACCATATTTTAATTGTAATTTAAGAAAATCCAGCTCGAGTTATTTCAGGAAAGATTCTTTATAGGTTTTTTTTCTCTTTACATTGACAAGTATATCTCCATAACTTCAATACTGAGTAGTATGTTTATCACGAGGTTCCGACTTCAAATACTGGATCCGGAAAATGTGAACAAAATTTCTAGTAACCGGAGCTAAGACGTACGATTACCCTGGTGCATCAAACAGCTCGTTAAGCTGTCGAAAAGCACTACATAGTTGTATGTAGCGACAGCTTAATTTCGTGGCACTATTTGTTATAGGCCACGTACTAGAGCAGCGCGGTTGTCAGTTAAAAGACTCTCTAGATATGTTAAACGTATTGTCTAGCATTGCGTTAAGCACGAGTGGTCCCGGGTTCAAATTCCGGCGAAACAATATACTAATTTTGTCCGGCACACATGTCTAATAAACTGCCTGTAAATAAAAGATTGAGACTGTAAAGAGAGATGAAACTCATGCGCAATTGTGGAACATAATTGGATTAACAATATTTACAAGATGTTTGATACACAGATCTACTGGGAATCTAATTTGATATATGTATATTTACTATATAAACTATATAGAATATAAATTCTGTAAGGCTTTCACGGCCATCGTTCAGCATATCATTGTCTTTCGGGCTGTTCGGCCGATGTGAGCGAGAAGTGGAACTTGACATTTCGCCATCACGTATGGACGGCATCATCATCATAATTCTTCGAGCAATCGAGGAGTTAACATCTCCTGATGATGCCGTCCACAGGTGATGGCGAAACGTCGAGAACCTCTTCTCGCTCACATCGGCCGAACAGCCCAAAAGACACTGATATGCTATATAGAATATGTTTGCATTTCTATCTGTTTTTTAACTAGCTGAGTCAACGTCTTCGTCCGCGAGAATCTTGATTTTGGGCATTTAAATTCATTTTTGCAAACCCATCATCTTTATAAACTTAAGCTGCCCACGACGTCGGTTGTCCTTTCCGTCGTGCTTGCAAGCTAACCTTAAAAAAGTGACATATAGAGTCCTGGACTTATTTTTAGATCATTTAAAGAGGAATCATTCTTTCATACATATGTTTTGGGTATCTTGAACCGTTTTTGCAGTGTACGCCTCGGAAACCCATAATGGTGAATAATTTTCCCAAATATTTTCACATTTCTCGCTATATCATTGCTTGTATTAGTCACAGGCCGATATATTATAGTCTTCCTATAATGCTCTAACCAACACAGTTTTTTTTTAATTCGAAACCATAGTTCTAGAAATTAGCGCGTTCAAACAAACAAACAAACTCTTCAGCTTTATATATTACGTATAAAATTATTTCTTTGAGGCAAAGTTTGCTAATTTACTTAAAAAAATATAGTCCTATATTTAAACATCTTAAGAAAAGCCACGAAATAAAATATGCACACTTCTTAATCCTAAATATATGATAAAAAGGAATACCAGCTACGAATTGTATAGACACAGCTGTTAGAAGAATTTAATCTAAAAGAAAGCGGTCTATAGTTTACGCGAGTAGTACACATTTAAATAAAACACTTTAACGGTTTAAAACGCGATATATTAGTTAAACTTATTTGAAAATTATTTATTAGACCACGGCTGCTGCAAAGCATCCGAAACGTCGGGCCGAAGTTAAAAATATTTTTTAAATAAGTTTAACTAATATATCGCGTTTTAAACCGTTAAAGTGTTTTATTTAAAAGAAAGCGATTAATCATGGTCCAAACTTTTAAGTAATAAGAATCGTTTAGTCTTGTAACTAGTATTTCTTTATACCGATTGTAGTGAAAGCTTTTGAGTATGTTATAATATACTAAACAATTACATATTTCTATGTGAAAGAGCTCGATAGTCTAGTGGTAGAAAAATGCGTGGCAAGCAACAAATGCCTCGTGGTTTGAATTCCCGGGTCATTTCTTATGCCCTACGGATCTATTTTGACTTTGGCTATTCGCAAATCTTTCAGTCTGCGAAAGCGAAACGCCATTAAACACGTCATTTTCACGTTTGAATTTATAAACACCTTTTCTATTTCAGGGCTGTCATAATTTTGGTATCCTTGTGGATGTCGGCGGCGTCGCTGTACGAAGGCCACTTGGAGAGGCGTTATCGAGCTGAACAGCAGCAAGACCTTGAGCTTGCGAACAACAATCAAAAGTCACCAGTCGGTATTATCATTAAATCTATAGTAGACTGTTGTATATGTAGGTATATACTATATGGAAGGGCAAAGCGTCATTACGTAACGCGTCACGCCTGAAAAAGTTATCACTTCTATTAATCGTCCTAAACGGAGAATAATTTGTTTTTTATGTAAACTATTGAATTATCATTAACTCTTGTTTATGCATTTTTACCGTGTTTCAAACACTAAATATATTTGTTAAATAAGTTTCTATGGCTGATAAAAAGCACCTAAAACGTAGGGCCGTTGTTAAAAAATTAATATTATGTTGTAAACCGTTAAAAATATTTGCAATCGATGTTAAAGCAATATTTTATAGGCATTTTAAGCGTTTTAACAGCCTTGGGTTGAAGCCATTCATTGGATAGACCCTAATATTTTATTAACGGTTTAATTCGAGGGCGTATTATGATTTACTAATGAGTAACGGTGTTATCCCTTTGGAAGTTAAGGGACTCGGAACTCGATGCATATTTCACAAATGTACGCAAAGCGGTCTTATCTGTAATAGATCCTTCAGCTTTAGAATTGATAATTTCATGAGTTCGTGGATAAGTCCTGTGTGTGACACTATGATAATAATTTAAGATATATTAATAGTTATAATGTTAATCTAAAATAATTTACTTCAAAACCTTAACCACAAGACTCGAACCCACGATCAACCATCGATTCTCTAGCGATTAAGCTTTCTAATTATTCAAATAAAACACTTTAACGGTTTAAAACGCGATATATATTAGTTACATTTATTTAAAAACTATTACTAACAAATAAGTTTATCTAATATAGGATATCATGTTTTAAACCGTTAAAGTGTTTTATCAAAATCGCGTAAACTGCAGACAATATCTTACTAATTATTATAAGTTGATGTGAGCTAACTACAACATGTTATTATCCACATCACCAGCCTTTAAATATTTCCTACAGCTGGGACCCTTATATAAGGGTTTCTTTTTAGGATTTCATGTACTACGCTTGCCAAATGCGTTGACACATGTCAAATTTTTGCTACTGTCAGAACGGTATAGATAATAAAGCCAGAGATTAAACAGACCTCACGCACAGATTATTAATTATTAATTTTAATTATATGAAATTATTGTACACAGGCCAGCGATACAAGTTGTAATGAGTCGACCTCTGATGAAGATAGTAAGAACAGTCTTAAAAGGGAGCGCTGCGGTAACTATAAATTATAATCTCGCTTATCACAAATGCCCAGTAGAATAACGCAAAGGTCTGCCTTTGATATGATGTTATCGTTTTACGTATTCTGAATCTTACCTTTACATACAGATTTATGTACATCTTTGAAGCTATCAGGGCAATGAATTCAAAATAATACTGTTAAAGAATATTTTGTTATTCAAATTTAAGATGGAGATATTTACCATCTATTTCGTTTCCATGAAAACGAGATAACAAATTTTCCAAAGCTTATTTAAAATAAATTTTAGATTTAAACAAAGTTATGACAGGTATAGTATATATAAGTAATAAGATGTCTTTTTAAAAGAAATTTATGACTACTAAGGCACACAAAAACATATGTTACACTTATTACTAAAACATAAAAAAAAACATAATGTTATGTTAACAGAATAAGATAATGTTGTGTGCTGCTAGTAGAATAGGATCTTACTCAGTTTATATCAAGCCCTTTGTTGTCCTGAAACTCTGGTAGAAACAACATAGTTTTTAAACCTGAAATTACTTTTTTTAATTACTGAATAAAGTTAATTGTTTAATTAATTTTATTAGGTGTTTGGTCGGAAATAATGCTGTCGTTTTCGATATTATCAAACGGGCGGGCTATTCTGAGCACCCGACGACCCAACGACGGCGCCTTAACGTGCCTACACGGGATGAGGTAATTATTATACAGGTTGAGCAAAAAATTGGGTCACCGAGGGTGGCTTTTGCAGTAGCGTAAAGTTTTTTTGTCAAAATGCGGTAGCATTTACTTTTGTTACCGAAATTCCAAACGTAGAATTCCCATTGTTACGTATCCTATACGAAGCAATAAATATTGATAAGTAATATTATTAAACTTTATGCATTCATACTTTTTAATATTCATAATAAACTGGATAAAGTTGCTGAAATAAAACGGAAAGTAAATTCAATTTTATGTTTCCAAATTGACAGATTTTCCCCACGCTTTTTAAACTTTCTGGAAATGAGTTATCCTGTCAGTTTTGACAATTGACAGTTTAAAAATACAGATTATATTTGATATTTATTACATGTATTTGATGTCTTTTTAGGCACAATTATGATACATGAAACTTAATTCTGAATAAAATACGTACTTTTTAATATTCTACGTAATTATAATCGTGTTATGAAAATTTCTAAGAAATTCTTTCCTATCCTATCGAACAGATCTAAACGGAATTCAATGCGAAAAAAGGTAAAAGTGTTGTTACCTTTTTTCATACATTTTCTGCATTGACTAACGAGTTCATATTTTTCAGATTTTTATCTGTACTATGGGTGATAATGGTGCATACGTACCTAACAATATTCTACATAGCGGACAACAAACAAATGAGGGTGGTTACAGAAAGAAACTTTTTATACCAGTCTGTCGGCAATGCCTCCTATTGTGTGGATACATTCTTTTTTATTGGGTAAGATAAGCCTAAGGGTTTCCAAGCATCCATCCATTATTGGAATTACTTGCCTCATATTAAGTTTTATTTCTAGCGAGCACTAAGAGATACTAAGTGCTTTTCAAACCCATCAGCTGTACATATGTACGTTGTGTATAAAGCGTACTTTGTAGAACATTAATGGAGCCATAATTGTTTGTCTTTCATATTTTTAAACTTACTATCAAACGCCTATGAAGTATTTTTTATAAATTAATTTACACAAATGTAAATCGATAGTATACTTTTTATTAAGATAGAATTTGGGGAAATTCTATTTTGATTATTATTTGTTATAATTGTAATTTAACTAAGTTTATTTTCATTTATATTACATATAGTGCCAACCACCTTAGTTTTTCAACACTATTCTAAACTTATCATCCTATATTAGTCATAGTTACAATTTGCAAACGTATAATTGAATATTTGCCTGCTTACAGCGGATTGCTAGTAACCGTGCTATTTTTACGGAGCGAAGACAAGAAAACGAAGAGAAGGACGAACAAAACGCCGAGCAACGATAAGGACCTTAACAAAAATATTAACGGGTACACCAACTCCGCCTTATCAGTCTCCGTGATAAGCGAACAGTCGTTCTACGAAGACATTCTCGACAAACCGAAATCGGATGCGATCACGAGAAGAGAACTTTCGAGAATGACTCGATCGTTCCTCGTCTTGCTGTCGTATCGTCTAGTCAGATTGACCCCAGCGTACGCCTTTGTTATCGGTATAAACGAGCTGGCTCTCCGCTACACACACAACCATACTGTCTTCGAGCCGGCCATCTTCGACCACATCACCTGTGAACGATACTGGTGGAGAAACGTGCTGTACATCAATAACCTATTTCCGCAGAGAGACATGTGTATGGTCTGGTCGTGGTATATGGCCAACGATACACAATTCTATGTTATTGGAATCATCCTTTTATTAATTTCGGTTAAGTGAGTATTTTACTTTAAACTATACTCAATAAACTAACGCCCTAACTAAAAATATCAACTTAGTTATTGGTACATGGTTTCGTTTTATCTTTATCTATATTCTGCTTGTAATAAAAGGAAATATTATCAAACGTCATAGGACGGACACAATTCTGTGTCCAGAATTGTCATCAGTAATGATTAATTCTATTCACAGCCGAAAAGTTTATGTTATTTTTATTTCCTTCCCTACCGAAACTATGTTGCTCCAGGAGTCGAACCCCTGACACACTTAACCATTGAACAACGGAGGCGTTCAATGATATTGATCTCCAAAAGTTTTCGGTCCTTCAATTAAGGATGTAGTTAACAGGACTACTTTTAACGGTTTTAAGCGCTATTAATTAACTACGGCCCAACGTTTCGAATGTTTTACAGGAACACGCGACCACAGCTGAAAGAATTTAACAAATATATTTTGCCTTTTAAACCGTTTAAATACTTTTACTTTTGTATAAAATACTTCAAGTATGAACGCAGCCTTTAAACAAGCGTAATTCTAAAAGTTCAAACAAAATAGTTCTGTCAACAATAACCCTTTTAGGCTCGCGGGAGAACGAAATATAAATCTTATTTCGCGGCCAACCCGAATTGTGAACAATATTATTATCATTTAATTATGTTTCATTAACTTCGTATACAGACGAGAGATAATAGGCGCTTTGGGGCATATAACAAAACCGTATTATCATGTGGAATGTTTTAACATCCACTATGCGGGGTTTGGGACACTGTGTACGATTCACTGTTTTTTTTTAAAATGAAAATATGTTTCTTTGTTCCCGGAAATCGAATTCAGAATAAAAGCCCTTAAGTTGAATCGCGTTTTGGTTTCCGTTTGTAGATTTTCAAATATAAAAAAAAATACGACATTTTGTTGAGATGTTTTATGGCTAGGGTATTCTACCTTCGTCTGTCCTCTTCTATCTGTGTATAAAAAAATAAAATACTAATATAAAAAGCTGAAGAGTTTGTTTGTTTTTCTGTTTGACCGTGCTAATCCCATGAAACTACGGGTTCGAATTGAAAAATGCTTGTTGTGTTGGTTAGAGAATTTATCGAGGAAGGCTATATGCTATAAAACATCGACTGTGACTAATACAAGCTAAAATACAGCGAGAAATGTGAAAACAATTTGGCAAATCATTCATTATTATGGGTTTCCGAGGTGTACGCTACGAACACTCTTTAAATGATCTATAAAAAAGTCCGCTACGCTATATGTATCTCTTTTAACATTAACTTGCAAGAACGACGAGAAGCGACGCGACCGACGTCGTGGGTAGCCTTAAGTTTATAAAGATGTAAGGGTTTGAAAAAACGAATTTGGATGCCCAAAATAACGATTCTCGCGGACGAAGTCGCTGACACAGCTAGTATAAAATATATTTATTTCTGCAGGCACGTAAAATTCGCAACGGTGTCGCTAGTTCTGTTGCTGGTAAGCTCGTGGGTGACAACGATCTACATATCGGTGTGGTATCACTACAAAGCCCGGATTCAAGAACCCTTTGAAATGTTCGACCCGCTTTATGACAAGCCTTGGTCGAGAGTTGGACCCTACTTAGTTGGTAAGTTTTTACGATATTTGGTTTTATACGTTCATAAAATTGGAATACCCTAAATTTTTGAATAGGTAACCAGCGTTTATATAGGTAACAAAGTTTATGTCTAAACAGTTGATCAAATCCTTATAGTTTTTAAAGTTGTAACTTAACTTGTAACTGGTTTAGCTTAGCTGAAGACTTGAGATATGACATACATTTTTGATAATCTTTCTTAATATCTCGATTCTCGATCTATCGAGAAGCAGTGTTTTTTAACGTAAAGTAACGTAAACAAAAGACGTAAGTTTATGCCGATGCTCTAATTGAGATAGCGTATCTCACACGTCATCATCGGGTTTCGTCGACGTCATAAACCAAATAATACAGGTATTAATCAATTTTATCATGTAAATGTTAAGGTATAGAGCCCGTAGAATTTCCGCCTTTATCTTTATTCAAACTAAATATTTATTTTTTAAATAATACCATAATATGCAAAGTTATACTGTTTGTACCTTGTGTGTGTATCTTGAATAACATTAGTTTCGAAGTTTAGGGACACTTCCCAACCTGTTTCACTTTTACATTACTGTTGTAATAATATCTTATTATTTCAAAAATATAATTGAATTCAGCTCCAAGCAACATAAAGTGTCAGAACAAAGATAAAGTAGAATTTCATAAGAAGCAATAAGCTGAGCGTCGGGTCTTCGCTCGTAAAACGGATTTTATGATTATTTATGCATTTTCTATCGCAGAATACGAGCCTACTTCGTGTTATTAGAAGGTACTAATTTGGCAGAGAAACCTTTAGACGCCCGTAAAACCTATTTTCCTAATGCGCAAAAAGCTCAGGGAAAACAAAGCAAACGTCGGATGAAATACAAAAACAAACGGCGTTCTTTTATTAGTTATTCTTCATTTTCCACAGTTCAATACATTCGTGTTGGCATACGTATCTAATCTATACTAATATATAAAGTTGAAGAGATTGTTTTGTAACTTCAGGAACTACGGGTTCGAGTTGAAAAATTATTGGGAAATTTATTCATCATTATGGGTTTCCGTGGCATACGCTGCACAAACGGATCAAGATACAGGAAAAATTATATATGAAAGAATGATTCCACTTTAAATGATCTAAAAAAAAGTCCGCGATGCTATATGTCTATCTTTTAAGATTAACTTGCAAGAGCGACAGGAAGGGACGCGACCGACGTCGTGGGTAACTTTAGTTTATAGAGGTTAGAAAGTTGATAGCAAAAACGAATTTGGATGCCCAAAATAACGATTCTCGCGGACGAAGTCGCTGGCGCAGCTAGTAACTGATATTAATACAGAATTCTTATACGCTGAAGTGCTTCAACAACAAATATATCTTACAAAAATAAACGTTTAAAACCTCAACGAAACAATACGTATTTTCATTTTAAATTACTTTTATTATTCAACATATAAAAAAGCTTATCAGTGTAATGGTAGCATTGTATGGCTAATCAACAGGCCGTGGGTTCGATCCCCACCGGGACCTTCAAATTAATTAATTTTAATCGCGGGACATGTTTTGTCACGAAATCTGGATATTAAATGCGCGATTCGAAATTGGGTCCGGGTCACGAACGACCGTCTAGAGATGAAAAACCCGTCAAGTTTCATCGCATTTCGGATTCATTTTTTGTATTTTCGATTGTGCAGACGAAAATCGGTCGATAGCGCTTCTTGCTTAGATGGTACATGGTATTTTATCTACCATCAAGCTTTTAAATAAAACGCTTTAACGGTTTAAAACGCGATTTATTAGTTAAACTGATACGTTTAACTAATATATCGCGTTTTAACCCGTTAAAGTGTTTTATTTAAATGTGTACTACTCGCGTAAACTATAGACAGTATTTACCATCAAGCTTGTCTGTACTCTTCTATCTTAAAAAAAAACAATAATATATTATGATATTATTATGATTATATGAGTAATAACCTAAATAAGTATTCTTTAAGGTTTATTTACATAGTTAACGTGGTATTGAAAGATTATTGAAAGTATTTTTTTTTTTTCAGGTATGATGGTGGGCTGGTATTTGCATAAGACAAAGTGCCAAGTGAAAATACCATACTGGCTGGTGGTAGTGGGTTGGCCCACGTCGTTGGCAATAATTGGAAGCCTGATATTCGGAATGGTGGATGGCTACTTTGAAGTATGGCCCACAGCCTTCTATATCAGTATTGGACACACAGGTATATAATCTATACTAATATATAAAGCTAAAAAGTTCCTTCGTTTGTTTGAACGCGTTAACCTCAGGACCTACTGGTTCGAATTGGAAAATCCTTTTTGTGTTGCTTAGAGTATTGATTGAGGAAGGCTTTATATAGGCCATAAAACATTGCGCTGTGACTAATATAAGCGAAGAAACAACGGGAAATGTGAAAAAGCAGGGAAAACGATACATCTTTGAGGGCTTCCGTTGTGTGCGCTTGGAGAACGGTTCAAGATATATGTTAAAAACAAATGGATTTTTTAAAATGGCCGCGACATAATATGTCTATTTTTTAAGATTATCTTGTGAGAACGACGGGATAGTAAAAGCTTAAATTTATAAGGTTGAGGAGGGGTTTGCAAAACAAATTTGGATGATCATAGATAACTAATCTACGCGAACGAAGTCGCTGACAGAGCTAGTCTTAAATAAATAGAGTGGGAAGAAGAGCGGAAAAAACAAAACACTCCCTTCATAAATATTAACTTTAGCATACTACTTACAATTTATGACAGCTATAAAAGAGCGCTTTCAAAATTGCTGCAGTACATTTAAATGAGATTCGCTGTCACTTGCAATCTTTACAGCGGCTAATTAATTTTCAAAAGCTTTCTTAGTGCACAAGCTTTTATTAATACTGAGAGTACAATTTTACTTAGCGTATTTTTCGTAAAGAATGTCACATGAAATAAGTATTCTATTCACTATAGAAGACTCGAAAATCTATACTAATATATAAAGCTGAAGAGTTTGTTTGTTTGTTTGAACGCGCTAATCTCAGGAACTACGGGTTTGAATTCAATCATTTATTGAGGAAGGCTATTATAGGCTATAAAACATCGCGATGTGACTAATAGAAGCGCAGATACAGCGAGAAATGTGAACAAAACGGGGGAATTTTTTCTTCCTTGTGGTTTCACACGTTGCGAAAACGGTTTAAGATACCTAAAAAATGAGTATGTAAGAATGATTCCTCTTTAAATGTACTAAAAAAAAGTCCGCGACGCTATATGTCTATCTTTTAATATTAACTTGCAAGAATAACAGGAAGGGACCCGATCGACGTCGTGGCTAACGGCTTAAGTTTAAAAAGATGACGGGGTTTGCAAAAACTTTGGAAACCCCATTTGGAAATTTGGATGCCCAAAATAACGGTTCTCGCGGACGAAGTCGCTGCCACAGCGAGTCGTAAATACTTCTATTAATCAATTGTTTGCCAAATAACTAAATGTGTTTTTTAATTTCTTTGTACTAAATTTCACTTTTAACGGGTTAAAACGCAAAATATATCAGTCATATATTTTTAGTGCCACTCGTTTTTTACACTATTCTATTGAATACCTTATCGTGCATAAAATAAGTCATTTCACGTTTTGAACTATTTAATTGAGTAAAACGCTTAACGGTTTAAAACGCGATTTTATTATTAAACTGATTCTATTGAATACCTTTATAGTGTTCATAAAACGAGTCATTTAAATGTTACTCACGTATTAGACAGTATTTACTATTTAATTGGTTTTATTTAATACAACAAAGTATAAGGCATTTCTATTTGACTGACATCACTTGACTTTATATCACGTGAGGTTACTGAATGATATCTTCTTTTGGTCTTTTTTATAAAAAAAATACTAGCAACTTAAATTAAAAAACTTCTTTATAATCTGAATTATAAACAGATAACTCTTTGGAAAAGATTAAAACGCATATAGCATTTAAGAGAGCAATGGCTATCTTAATCCTTAATACAGTCAGAAAGCATCAGAACACGACATATAAGCCTATATAACAGTAGCCATCAGAATACCTTATTTGAAGTCACTTTAGGAAAATGTCTATTACATTACACAAATCAAACACAATAACATATCATAATAACCAACACAAATACTAAACATAAAAATTTGGTACTTCCAGGTTGGGGCGTGGCCCTCGCTTGGGTGGCGATAGCGTGTTGCTGCGGTTACGGAGGTCTCGTGAACTCTCTGCTGTCCTACAACGGTTTCCTGCCACTCAGCAGGCTTACCTACTGTGCATATCTGGTGCATCCCACGATAATGATGTACACGACCTTCCTCTTAGACGGCCCACTACATCTACAGAACTCCATAGTGGTAAGTAACTAGCACGCGTTACATTCAGTAGCGTCACTTGAAATAAATATAATATTTATCGGTGTCAATGATTTATTATCAATTTATATAAATATTGATGAAAGTAATTCTTTTTGATTTATTTAAGGTAGTTTGGTTTAAGTAAATTTAATAACAATGCTGAAAATGTTTACAAACGATTTTTAAAAGTTTTCGCATGAAAGTAATAAGCGAGTTAGCTCTAGTAGAGCGAAGGAAATTTTTCGAGCGCTCGGCTTTATAGTGGTAAACATGATGTAATACAATGTTATCTGGCGTGAGGAAATCGTTTCCTTAAAGCAACCCTTATACAGATTATCAAGGATTTCAGCTTAATTCCAGGATTCTTTAAATCAATTTTCATCAGGTTGAAACCGAAACGTTTAGCCGTACATTACACCAATACCCGTCCGCTTAAACAAATATTTTCACATTTGATCCAGCGCGGTTTAATAAAAAATTACTAAACACGTTTGTTTATATATATTCCCCGCTGTCTCAGTGGTAAAAGACTCCCTGGAATTGAATCTTGAGGACATAATATAAAAAAATCTTCGGCCGAACAGGACGCAAAAGTCCGCACAATGCTACCCTACCTCCGATTTACCAATTTCCACACAGGCATTTTTATATGAAAATTCGGTCCAATCGTTAGCAGGCTAAAACGTGAACTATTCAAGTTAATAAAATTTCTTCACTCCCATCTTTTCGGGTCTCGTTCAGCAGGCGCGAATGTTTAGCGTAATTTGAAATGTATACATTCGTAAATAAAAAAAGATTTTACTTAACTTCTAAACATAGCTAAACAGTTCAATTAAAAGTGTAAGATACAAAGAGAATATTGCAAGTTACATAAATATTTGTAAAGCAGAAATAAGAAACATATTTTCATCCAAAGCTCATTAACTTGAATTCAACAGCAATTTGTAAGTTGAAAAAATACAATTAAACCAATTTTTCAGCTCATCCCAAAGTTTTATGAGCACCGCGAAGAACTGCGGATGTTCGTAAGCAGTAAAAATATAATTATGCAAGGTAGAGAATATAATTTTCTACTGATTTTTAGTACATTTGGTTTTGACGTTTAAAATGACAGGAAAACTCACTTTTTAAACATGAATATGCAATATACGTAAAACACTTTAACGGTTTAAAGCGCGATATATATTAAACTTTTAAATAAAACACTTTAACGGTTTAAAACGCGATATATTAGTTAAACTTATTTAAAAATGATTTTTAACTTCGGCCCTACGTTTCGGATGCTTTGCAGCAGTGGTCACGGGGAGACTTAAAAGTTGGTATTATGCATAACGTAAACTAAATCATATCTGTGGTCTATGCAAGTGGGCATGGGGCAGACACATTTCGATTTGATTTACAGATAAGTTAGTTGATCCATCATCTGTTCCCGTTCTTGAAGTAACTATTTTTCCCGGAATGTGAACCCAAAACCATTCGCCCTCAATGAAATTCTAGGTTCAAGCAAATCGTACTCAAAATTTAAAAAAAAATAAAAAAGATTTATTTTTAATTAATTACATTTGAAAAAAGAACACACTTTTTTAAAGTGTTTGAGCGCTTTGTTGTTAGTTGATTATAAATAAATCGCGTTTACACTCGTAAAAATTAATTTTATCGTAAACTAACTATGTATTTTTTAAGATACAGGAGAAAAGACAAGACAGGATTCTTATTTAATATCCCAGTCATATTACGTTTATTTATTTATTCACATAAGGAAAACTTAAAGATAACTTAAGATACGACAGTAGACAAAATATATATGAGCATGCTAATTAAAAGTTTTCAAGAGATCCAGAGAGATGCAAAAACATCTTTACAAGTTGCGCTAATTACCTGTTCCATATATGTAATATAAAATATACGGATATTTTACATTCTATCTATACTAATATATAAAGCTGAAGAGCTTTGTTTGTTTACGTTGACGCGCTAATCTCAGGAACTACTGGTTCGAATTGAAAAATTATTTTTGTGTTTGTTATAGCATTTATCGAGGAAGGCTATAGGCTATAAATGCATTGGGCTGTGACTTATAGGAGCCAAGAAGCAGCTGTAAATGTAAAAAAAAATGGGGGAAAATTGTCATCTCTGTGGGTTTCTGATGCGTCTGCTGCGAAAACGGTTTAAGATAATATAAAAATTTACGAAAGAAGAATTCCTTCTTATACGATCTAAAAATGTCCGCGACACTGAAATTCTATCTTTGAAGATTAACTAACTAACTAAACAAGAACGACGTGACCCGAACGACGGGTCACGTCAGATGTCGATATCGGATAGCAGTTTAAATTTATAAAGATAAAGAGGAGTTTTGCAAAACCAAAATAACTATTCTAAGCGGACGCAGTCGCTGACAGGGCTATCTAGTATTTAACATAAAACGCGATACTCTCGAACAAATAGACAGGTACTTTAGTAACAAGCTAAAAGGCATTGTTTGCATGCACGTGAAATATTCATCAGATTAATTTCCGAAGAGCAATTCTGAATAAATGCCGCCTGAAATCGAATCGGATTCGTTATCGAAGAATTTCAGCGCCAGTGGAACTGAGTGGAATTGAAAATTGAGATTATGTTGATGGGCCAATCGGATCTATTTGCGGTCGAGTGCGGGCACCTGCGATACACAATCCAGTAAAAATTGTCATCGTATTTTTCGATTCTATGTGGAATTCGATTTTTGAAAAGTATGTTCTAAGTCTGTTCTATAGGATTTCACGAACTAGCTGTGTCAGCAACTTTGTCCGTGACAATCGTTATTTTGGGCCAAGTTCGTTTTTGCAAATCTTTATAAACTCAAGCTGTTACCCACGACGAATCTTAAAAGATATACATATAACGTCGCCGATTTTTTTTTAGACAATGTAAAGAGGAATCATTTTTTCATAGATCTTTTTTTGGTTACCTTGATCCCTTTTTGCAGCGCACGCGTTATAATTATGAATAATTTTCCTAAAATTTTTCATATTTCTCGCTGTACCTTCGCTTCTATTAGTCACTGGGTGATTGTTTTATAGCCTTCCTTGATAAATCTTCTTACCAACACAAAAATAATATTTCGATGTAAACTGTAATTCCTGAAATAAGCGCGTTCAAACATACAAACAAACAAACTCTTCAGCTTTATATATTAGTATGTAGATAGATGTTTATTATCAGACATATTCCTTTAATAAATGACTTAGGAAAATAGAATTAATTTTTAAATACAGAGCAGAATGAGACAAGAACAACATTATAAAAAGGATTGTAACAATACTAAATGTAATATTTTCTGCTTTCAGATAACATTATACGCCGGTTATGCCGTACTCGCATTTTTAGCGTCTTTCGCAATTTCACTCGCCTTCGAGGCACCAGCTGTGAGGCTTTTAAAGATCGCTAGCGGGGGAGGCGGCAGCAAAAAAGTGCGCTGATTACACAATCAACCGAGATCAAATGAGCTGTTAAGGCCTTCCTTCGGACCTTTTTCTGCGCCGATGTTGTAAAGCTCGTGTAGAGCTTCGTTAGAGAAAATCTGAATTCAGAAATAACTTTTTTCAAAACTAGCTTACTCGCAACAAGTACCCTTTTAAACGGTTTAAATTGCGAAATATATTCTTATTTTATGGTTGGGTTGTATATTATATTTCGTATATTTCGCGATTTAAACCGTTAACTTTGTTTTATATGTACTACTTGTAAACAGCAGCTAATACATCTTTAATATATCTGTAGACTCTAGAGTCTTGACTATTCAAGCAACCCATTGTGAAAGATTATCGGGTGGAATAATTTATTGTCATTGTTTCACGAACGCTCTCTTGAATCCTAATTACAATATCGGAAACGAAATATTATACGAAACAGTTCTACGTTTATTTAAATGTAACTGCTAAACACTGAGAGAAATTTTGCTACTCTGTACATATAACATATTATAATATGTGTCATAGATTGTCCAAAGGCTTATCGCTAAGGAACGCCGACAAGGAAACAATACATATCGCCTCTTTGCTTCAGACATAAAAAAAACACACACACAAAAAGTAAAAAAATGTCAAAACGGACACGTGGAGTAGGCAGACTTTGAACTATTAAAATGTTCACATTTTAATGATCATCGATGATCACAGGCGAGATGGTAGCTCAATTGGTGAAGCACGGAACGTTGGGGACCCACCACCTCCGCGTCAAAAAAAATGATACAGCAACACCAACAATATAACAATATAACAACGAACAATTTAATTTATATAAGAAGTCAAAAAAGTCCTACACCTCATCGTCGAATTTTTTCAACTTATTGATACATGCACCTCTCGCGCAATGTAATTTCTACCTTAACACTTGCGTATTAAGGCTCAATGTCTTATGCTTTGCGTTGTACATTGAGCCTTAATACGCAAGTGTTAAATGAAATTACATTGCGCGAGAGGTGCATTTTTCAAAAGTTGAAAAAATTCGAGATAGTGTAGGACTCGGTAGCTCAATTGTAGAGAACAGCACGGAAAGCTAGATGCCGGTTCAAGTCCTGCCCGAGTCGAAAAATTTTTTCAATTATTTTGTTTTAAATTATATAGTGCCTTCATTGCAATAACATTGAAAAATATTAATGTTTTCAAAGTCAAAAAAAGATCAAGTACTGTCTCAGAAAATGTAATAATCGTCAAATGAAATTTAAAGATTCAAATAGTTTTTCTCGGACGTGTTTTTTCTTCAACTGAAATCTTAAAATTTTTCACTTGTTATTTTTAACATAGTGGCATCATATAAATCTTTTTTAGACTGAAAGCACGATCAGAAAAACGAACCCGGTATCTACAGCATTCGCGCTGATATAACTAATTGCGTTACCTTGTCTCGCACGTCATCTTCGATTTTTTCGAACTATCGATGCACGCACCGCTCGCGCAATGTTTTTTTATTACACTTAGTTGAAGCGCAGAGGTGATATTAATATTAAGTACTTAAGTTACCATTAACTTTATTTAAAACTACGTATCTATTAAGTTACCAGACTACTCACGATGTACATAGCCAATTAACTTGAAGTATTAGCTTGAACCCTGTCGTGAACGACAAAATGCGAGGCATTTGCTGTTCTGTGGCTTGTCAATTTTGATCACCGACGGCGACAAACTTCTATAGGTTTGCATTGGCCATTCAAACTGAATGGCCCAAGTTATAACTATGTATAACACAAGGCATTGTTCGCTACCGTTTACATCACACGTCTTTAAATATTAGAGCCAGTCTTTGTGGTGACTCGGTACACGCTAGAACTTACAATTCGAATAACCTGTGGCTGTAGCTAACAAAACAATATGGAAGATTAGAAAGGACAAAATGTCAATGGCTTAGTTGTATAGCTACCACTTTTGAGGCTCCATTCTCAAAGGTACACCAGGCTGTATTTTAAAAACCGCGAAAGCTAGACTGTTAAAATTTGAAAAACTTTAATTGCACACAATGACGTTATATAAATTGAAAATCTATTAAGATTGAGAAAAATATGACTTGGCGCGACTTGGCTGCATCCACAGTGTGCCGTGCTGCTGCTCTAACCAGCGCTGTACATCAATTGCCTATATGCTTAGCTGTGGATGCCGGTTCAAGTATCACCTGTGTTGTAATATTTCTCTTAATCGGTTTTTAACTTAGTTAAAAATTGCACAAATCTAGTATTTATTTTGACGCTAAACAAAATAATACAACAGACATTTTACAGCTGTAGTTTTTGTAGGATTCTTTTTGGTAAAAGTATTTTAGATTTGATAATATAAATATTTATGTTCAAACCAATGTTTTTGCACTACCTCAGGTAACAGATAGGCACTTCAAATAACTAAAAGAAGGTTACAATATGAATTGGTCTAAGGTTAGTACCTAGTGCATTGTGCAGGTGCGCGAGTCAAATTCACAGCTGACCTATTTCGTCTTTTAGAACTTCGTTTTTGTATAACAGTTAAATTTGGTTGCAGCCCCAGGTAATTCAATCCAAAGGTATGTGATATTATTGTAACATATCCCCCTGTGAATAAATTTTTGTACAATTCGTAACAGAAGGTTACGAATGTAGGTGTAATTTAATCAATAATTTAGTCATTTTAGAGTTATTGGTGGGACTGTTCATGTACCTTATTGTAAATAAGTATTCGTAAATAAATAATTTAATTCTAGTCTTTATTTGTGCTTTTCTCTCCCTTCTCCTTTCATCATTAGTTAGATTAAAAGCTGTGCCTTCAGACGCTATCGCTGTCTCCTTCATCCTGGCACACGGCCAGACCAGCATACAAGCGCGTCCCTCGTAATTTGAAATCTTAATGCGATGTGACGCGTTACACTGTACTCAAACTTCGGCGTTTTATGAACACAAAATCCTTATATATTTTGGAAATTTATCTCTAATTACTTCGAGGGTGCTGAATTGTACAACTCTTCTTTCACTTTCAACTTTACCCAGATCCATGTAGATCTAGACGACGCTACCCCGACATGGGCATTGGGACAGATATAAATGTGTATGTTTCACATATCGATTGAGTTGTCAGACATTTATTCGAACAGAACTCTATGCCTTGCCTGACTGAAACTAACATAATTCCAAAGGATTCAAACCCAGGACTTTATTGGTGAGTAGTAGTGAGATTAATTTATAAAATTATAAACATGTCCCACATCCAAATGACATAGTAAATAATGACTGCCGCAAATGTTTTGAATGGAATTGTATTTATTAATTGTTCAATCTGTCATGATTTGGTTAGTTCGAGTGCATTTCATGGCTGTCAATTTCAACTAAATCAATGACCAGCTGATCCGGCTCGTTTGTAATGTTGATTGAAACATTATATAGGTACATTTCTAACAAAGGGTTGGTAAGAATGCTTTAACTTCGACTAATATTGATTACCATAAATACTGTTTTTGCGAGTAGCTAATCTTAGAGATAACTGACGCAGATATGTCCTTAAATGAAGAGGAGTGATTTATTTAGTATTTTGAAGCGTTTACAGAGCGCACACACCGGAAGTCCTACGAATAATTTCCCCCGTTTTTCCACTGTTTTATCGCTACGTTATATACGCCTAAAGCCTTCGTTGATAAATGGCCTATCCAATACAAAAAGTATTTTTCAATTCATAACAGTAGTTCTTGAGGTCAACTCATTTAAACAAACAAACTCTTTAGATTTATAATATAAATATAGATAATAATTACATATAGGTTGTGTACACGTTTGAGGAACTAAAATAGGATTCTAGATAAAATATATTCTTGATACAAGAGGGATTCGAATCTACGACTTATCAATGAAAAGTCTTTACTTAAATACTGTCTTTGTGTTTGTGTTTACGCGAGTAGTACACATTTAAATAAAACACTTTAACGGTTAAAAACGCGATATATTAGTTAAGCTTGTTTGAGCATGATTTTTACCTTCGGCCCGACGTTTCGGATGCTTTGCAGCAGCCGTGGTCACGGGGAGACTCCGACGAAGTTAAAAATAATTTTCAATAAGTTTAACTAATATATCGCGTTTTAAACCGTTAAAGTGTTTTATTTAAAAGTTGATTTTCTAGATATATAAGACCTACCTTTTAAACTCATTGAAAGTCTCATGTTGATTAACTTGTATTATGAAGATTCAAATTCTAATACTCTTGTTATCTCTATAAGGTATCACGTAAACCAACAATAATAAAACCGCAGTAAAACTTCTCAACGCTAGGTCGTTAGTAACGTATAAGCTTCGTGATAGAATACAGTAGGTATACAGCTTTTGAAATTATTTTAAAAGACATCGGAAGTTAACCCACCGTAGTAGCTCAATGGCTGCAAAACAACGCATTGCATAAGAAGTTTCAGTTCGAATTCTGAACTAATATGGCACTAAATCTTTTCTATGGTAGAGGAGAAAGGATAAGCATGGGGTCACGCCATGATACGCTAGCAAATTTGTGGACTTCCGAATATTCAAATTTTTGCCTAAGCCTTAGTGGCATTTGACCTGGTAAATGTTGTTGTTGGGACGGTAGAAATTGCTTTTTGTGATTGATATAAACAACATATACGTAAATTTATTTACGCAGTTTTACAACATTTAAAAATCTACACTAATACTATAAATATGAAAGTAACTTTGCCTGTCTGTCCAGCTTTAACTCCGTAACTACTGAACTGATTTAAAATATTGATTGCCAAAAAGGGTTGAAGGGGTTGAAAAGGGGGATGAAAGTTTGTATGGAAATTCGTGGTTTTTGAAGCTAGAACAATGAAACTTTCTTCTTTGTTTTTTTTGGGAATAGGAGCGGGAGTGGGTGTGGGTATGGGTATGGGTGTAAGAGTCGGAGTGAGTGTAGGAATGAGAGTGTGAGTAGGAGTTAGAGTGGGAGTAATGTGTGGTGAGAGTGTTGCGGCAAAGTAGCAATTA